TGCACTGAATATAACGTCAGAAGTACCGAACATAATTTAAATACCACTGCATATAATAATGAAACTACTGAACATAATAACCAAAGCACCGAACATAATGTCAAAACTACTGAACATAATGTCAAAACTACTGAACATAATATGAAAACTACTGAACAAAATATAAATACTACTGAACGTAATGCATAAAGCACCGAACATAGTTAACAATCAACATCAGAAGACTGTCATGGCGTTCCATAAAATTTCATATTATTTATTATCCTCTTTGCAGATGACCAAACGGGTATGCGTAGTAGGCGCAGGCGTAGCAGTTTTGAGGAAGATTTTGATGTCGTCTGCTATGAGAAAGATACTGACATTGGAGGTCTTTGGAACTATCATACAACAGCGAAAGAGGGCGACACAAGTTTATACAATTCTTGCAGTATCAATACCAGCAAAGAAATTTCATGTTACAGCGATTTTCCTATTCCTAAAGAATTCCCAAATTTTATGGATCATAAACATTTTAAGAAGTATTTAAAACTCTATGCTGATCATTTTGATCTGATGAGGTGTATACGATTTGAAACATTAGTAGAAAAAATTGAAAAAACTGACGACAACAGATGGAAAGTCAGAACACAGAACACGAAATCCGGAAAGAACTGTACAGAACTATTTGACTTTGTAATGGTATGCAATGGTCATTTGCATGAACCTAACAAACCAACATTTCCTGGCTTGAACAGGTTCAAGGGTAAAGTGATGCATACACGTGACTACAAGACTTTCCATGGATACGAAGACAAACGCATACTGGTTATTGGGATTGGGAATTCTGGAGCAGACGTTGCCTGTGAACTTAGTAGACATGCTGAGCATGTAAGTTTCCATTTATGACAGTTTCTTTAATTGTAGAATATCTACAATATCTTAAAGGTAGAGTGTAGAAAAAGGCTTCAACAGCAATCATACAAACGGAAAGAGGTATGAAACATATGGGTTTGCTCTCGAAAACTGGTCCTCAACATGTGCGAGTAAAAACAAACAGCAATTTACAAAAAATATAGCAGAAAAAAATCAATTAATGACACAAACTACGTTAAAAACCAAGGGTTCTGTAGTGTATCAGAAAAGTCCAGAATTGGTAATCTGTACTCTTTTACGGTCAACTAACTTAATATGATCGATGGTTAATCTCAATTGGAACAAAGCGACTCACAAGTACCACAAAAAAAAACAAATATTTTCTCGGCACAGCATATCTTATGCTGCTCAATAAATAGGTGTTTAATTTAGAAATGGTTTTCACTCGTTCTTTTCTATATTAAGCGCACACAAATAAATCATTGAACAAAACTAAAAATTTAATTTATGTTGCATAACACATTTTTTTAAAGTAACATGAAAATAACAGACAACTTCCCAAGTTAAATATGAAATGAAAAGTTTGTATATGTTTTTGTGTATGATTATTTATTGAATTGGTTGATAATGCTTTTTCAAGGTATATGTCAGCACCAGAAGAGGTTCTTACATTCAACAAAGAGCTGGCGAGTATGGAGTTCCGTTTGATCACATAGCATTAAACAGATATGTCCAGAGTCTACCATGGGATATCATGAGACCTATTCATTACAACAAAATCAACTACAAATACAAACATTCTAACTATGGACTGGCCCCTAACTTTCGGTTTGATGGTGGAGTTGTCACAGTAAGCGACGATCTACCCAACCGTATACTGTATGGCGCTATCAGCATTAAGTCGAACGTGGAGAAGTTCACAGAGAACGGAGTAATTTTTGATGATGGTTCTATGGTTGAAAATATCGATGTCGTTGTCTTGGCAACCGGGTTTACATACAGTTTTCCTTTTCTCGATAATTCCATCATTGAAGTAGATAATCATTTTTCGTACTTATATGAACTTGTATTTCCTGTAGACATGGAACCGAGCACTTTAGCAGTAGTGGGTCTTGTTCAACCGTTTGGTAGTCTCGCGCCAATTCTTGAAATTCAAGCGCGCTGGGCGAGTATGGTATTCTCTGGTAAATGCAGTTTACCAAGTCCAACTGAACGACGTAGAGTTGTTGAGGAAAGGCGACAGTTTTTAAAGAAAAAGTATGTCGATTCCCCTCGGTACAGTCTTCAAGTATATTTCATTGCCTACTTAGATACTATCGCATCAAAAATAGGTTGCAAACCGAACCTTCTGAAGTACTTTTGCACTGATCCAAAGCTTTGGTATAAATTATACTTCGGACCAGCTACCCCACCACAATGGAGACTAGATGGTCCGGGAAAATGGGATGGAGCACGAAAGGCAATCGAGAATGTTGAGGAGAATACTTACTATCCAATGAAAACGAGGCAATCTGGAGCAGGAGAACTAGAAGGATTATATGACGGATGGATCAAATGGTTCAAGAGATTTATAATGTTTATACTCGTACTTTTTCTTCTTCGTTTTGTGTTCTCTAACGGATATAATGTACATTCATTGAAAGTTTAAAATAAATTCTCTCCCTTTCAACTGGTAAAGACTGGGACTATACCCTTGATAATTTCTTATTATTTTCTTATTTTTGATGTTTCTCTTTTGTAATATATAATTCTAAATTAATGTACACTAGCAATGGTTTTAGCTTGATATTAGAATTTTATTTTTTTTTTTCATTAAAAAAAAAAGACTTTCTTTTTCATTAAAAAAAAGAGGGAGTTTCTCGCTGCATTGAAGACCCATTGGTGGCCTTCGGCTGTTGTCTGCTCTATGGTCGGGTTGTTGTCTCTTTGATACATCCCCCATTTCCATTCTCAATTTTATTTCTAATATACGATATGAATTTTGCTCACTGTTTATGGCCATTCGGTGACTTATAGTTGCTTACATCCATGTCGGTTGGCAATAAGGGGCATTCGAGGACAAAACTGCATATAAATATTTAGAAGGGCAAAGCTAAAGATAACAAACGGGAAAATCATGAAACAGTTGACGACATGTAATTACCCAGAAATCTAACGAAAAGTCTCATTTTGTTTACTTTTTCAAATAAGTGAATTAATTATTCTCTTACAAATAACAAAGTTGATGCCAGTTACGTCAGTAAAACTAGTTATTATGTCAATCACCCTATTGCAGTTTCTTTATTGTTGCAAAAACCTCACTTGAAATCAAAACAAATCGTGTAATACAAATATGCAGCTTGCATGAAAAAGTGCATGGTATCAGATGAAAAAAATCAACCTACTGGCACATAATAAGGCTTTAAATACTGCATGCCAGGAGCAGTACACAATTATCACGGTACTGTACATCATAATAGAATTGGCTATAGGTGAATGAGAAAAAAATGTGATGAAAATCTGATTAAGGTTCATAATAACCTTTTGGCTAATATGGCCGTATTTACACCACAAGTTTTAATCGGAGTACAGACAAACCTGTGCACCTGAAAAAGTTTTAAAGCATGGCAGGAACTAGATAACTAAATTTCAAATTAATTTTATGTTTCAGAAAATTATAAACTTTTCTGGATTTTGCTATTCATTTTTGTTCGTTCCAGTAGAAGGTGCCAAAATAAACTAAGTTGGGAAAGAGGTTTTAGAAGCCCCCTCATATAATAAATGTTGTGAGTAGTATTGATTTAAATGGACAATAGACATCTGCGAAACAAAGGTGATTTAAACTGTGTAATTGAGTGGACCGTATCAAATGCAACTCGTATATGTAAGAGAATGATAATCCCTTTCTTCATGATTAAGTACGAGCGTTAGCGAGTACTTATCATGAAGTAAGGGATTATAATTCTCTTACAAACTTAGAATATTGTAAAGTGCTCAAGGCTCAAATGATCTCTTGATTGGTTGTATTCAAGAATTAGTTTCATTGTCAGTACAATGTTTATAATTTATGCAGGACTTTCTTTTTAGGATATCATGTCTAGGTTAGTCTATGGAAAGGTATATACTATGAAATTTAGAGCGAGGGGCTTGCCCCGAGCTCTTAATTTCATAGTATATACCTTTTCATAGACTATCCAATTTAGCACATATTTACAACTCGAGTAATCTTTTAATTGGTCTATTGATAGTTTATTTTGGCTGACTACTTGTATCACAGGTGTTTGTAAAAAGGAGCTCATTAACGAAGTTTTGTAAATCTACTCACTAGTATTATTGTAAAATATGTGATTTTAAAAGGCCCTTCACTCCAGAATGAAAAGATGGTAGCGACTGGTGTAAGTATGTATACTGATATAAAGCGGTGTTTTACTATACATTTCTTCTTACATGGTAAGATGACAAAATAAATTGACCAAAAGCAGGCAATAATTAAATTGCAGTGGAAGCTTTACATGTTTTGAAAACATTTTTTAATTTCACAGTAAAACTAAAGCTATAATAAAATTTGAAACTTAGAGATAGTTTGTCCCCATAGATATAGTCTAGCAGATAGGCATTAAAAAGCAACTACCAATAGATCAGAGATTATAGGTTTTGTGTTTTGTGTTTTTTTTTTTATTATTTCAAAGTAAAAACTAAAAGATTTATCAGAATATGTTTATATGTATATATAGGTGGCACATTATCTTCAGACATAATCACAGTTTTTCAATTCATGACATCGTCCTGAACATGCATGAAATTTTGCCACTGGACATTAAGCAACCAATAATCATCAAATCAATCAATTCATGACGAAATAGATCACCTTCCTTAAGAAAATTTAAAAAATTATCACCAAGTTGCTTTAATTTTCCTGCACAAGGTTTCATAGTACACACTTTTCTGTGTACAAAGTAATTGCATGGATGATACATTATCATAATTTTAAGATATCGTTGTACTCTAATCAAGGTATAAAGAACCATATGTATTACCCTTTATTTAAATAATAAAATTTGCAATTGTCAAAAACAATTTTTAGATCCAAAGATTTTAATAGCAGAATATTTAAAATTCAACGTGAAAACTAATTACAAACTATTTAATTTAATTTGGAACACAGCATTTTATTTCAAAATAGCCAGTGGCAATTTTTGTTTTAAATATCTTGATTACGATACAATGAAATCTTACCCTTGTGGTCATTCATGCGTAGTTACTTAGTACACAGGAAAAGTATGTACTATGAAAATTAGAAGGCAAATATAAGCAATTTGATTGGACGAGAAGTTGTAAGTATGTGCTAATTATGGATTAGTTTTAGTGATGTAAGGACTTTCTTATCATGTGGGAAATATTTAACAAAAAATGCGTTATAAATATTAGGTGACACAGCAGTACAAAGAAATGGTAGGAATTGTATATGTTTCCTGATTGTGAGTATGAATGTAAATCATGTAATATTTTAGTGAGGAATTATCCTTTTTATTTACAGTTTAAATCAATTAATACATTTGAGTTACAACTTACTTTTATTTCACAGCCAATATTTTGGTCCTGCTTTTTACATGAAATACTATTTCATTATGTCAGGGAAATGTTCAAATAAAATGCATTTAAAAGTTTTTAATATGTTCAAAACCTAAGTTAAAATCCTGTTTTATTTTTATTTTATCGGAATATTGGAATTAACTATTCTTCCCAACCGCTGATCCAGTAATAAAAGTTTTGGAAAGCTAAAGATTTAGGTTATTTTTTTATTTTAAAGCTTTTTTTTTCTTTTTTGCATTGCTTTGATATTGTTTAATTTTTTAGTAATTTGAAGTTATTGATATTTTCATAATAACATTCACGGTACCAATTTTACTGCACCAGTAAACTTCAACTGATTTTGAGTTTTTTGTTTGTTTCACAATTCAACTTTTAGTCAGTTTCAATCACTGTGTGGTAAATCCTTTCAATCCGATAAATGTGCTTCGGGGCAGTTGTAACTCATTTATAGAAACCCTTTGTTTTGAACTGTAAATAGACCCAAATAATAAGATAATCCCTTACTAAGAACATAATTTACATTCATTCTTCACAATTAAGAGGCATCAAATCCTACAATTTCATTGGTCGAGAGCACTTTGCTATATTCTAAATGTGTTTGTTTTTGCTATCTTCTGTAGACTGGAGAAAAAATGCACAACAAAATCCAGGTAAGTTTTTAATTTTCCGAAACATAGACTACATATAATAATTTACACGGTAGTTATAGTGTCCGGCTAGGATCGTGGTTTTTCGAGTGAATCTGTCCATTTTTTTCGAGTGTAGATCGGGCTTTTTCGAGTGATAAAACATGCGATCAGGTCAATTAACTACTAATTCGTAATTATAATAGTTTTTACGTGACTACCCATCTTATTTTGAATACTGTACATGTTTTGAGTAACAAAGAAGTACAATTTCCTTGTATTTAACCATTAAATTCAGTGTTTGTTATTGTCCGGGCTTTTTCGAGAGGAAATGTGAAACCGTCCGGGTTTTTAAACAAATGGTTCGGGTTTTTTAACGAAAATTTTAATAAGAAAAAAGTTATTTCTGACTTTAAAAAATGACTTTTCTAGTATATAAATGTAATTTAATGAATGAAAATATCATATATTCTCAATAAATCACCAAAACATATTACTACGTTGATCAAAATTAACCTTTATCAAATTTAATGCAAGTTTTCTGTTCGGAAAACGTTCTACCACAACTTTCCAGTATTAAATTAGAAATTATTGGATCCTTTATAAAAAGGTCTTAAGAACATAGTGCAGTAGACTCATAATCTTTTCAACTTCATTTCATGGTATTTTTGTTGTCACAGTTAATATTTTTCGTGGTGAACCCCAGAGTTTTTATACGATATGTACTATGGTATACCGTTGTCCGTCCGTCGTCAGCATGTCGGACAAAACTCAAAAACGCTGTAACCAATTTACATGAAACTTCGTTGAATTTTTTTTTATCTATTGAGGTATCCTTCCGTTCGAATTTTAAATTTTTTTAGATTTTACGTTGTCGAGTTATAGGATTTTATTAAACAAACTAGAGGCTCTAAAGAGCCTGTGTCGCTCACCTTGGTCTATGTGCTGCAGTGCATATTAAACAATGGACACTTCTACATTAAAGACAAGAATATAATTCATGACAAAATTCTCTGTTTTGGTGATGGTGACTTGTTTGTAGATCTTACTTTACTGAACATTCTTGCTGTTTACAGTTATCTCTATCTATAATGAACTTGTTCCATAAGTATTAGAGGAGAAGATTTCTGTAAAAAATGTTTTCGTTGCACATGATCCGCTATCCTTAACATTAAAATATAGTTATTAAGCTGCTCAGATTGTGATCTGTTCAACAGCAATTAAAACTCAAGACGTATACATCTGAGCAACACTGGACGACACAATGTAAAAGTTAACGGACGACGACGGACAACGACGGACGCCAAGTGATAAGAAAAGTTCACTTGACCCTTTAGGGCCAGGTGAGCTAAAAAGGGGTGATTTTACAGTTTTCGGACAATATTTTTTAAAGTGCTTTGAGGAGTTTTCATGAAGCTTTGGTGACTGCTTTGTGTAGATTAAGGTTACCTCCCTTTTAGTTTTTTTTATAAATTTTTGATATGACATTGAGAAATTATTTATAGGTTTCATAACGAGTGATATTGGATATCGCTTGATATCAACTCGAGTTATTTAATTTCAATATAATATGAAACGATGCTCCGGCGAGTTTGATATCAAGCGTATCATGCGCCCATGGCGCAGCCGTTTATTAAAAAACGGAGTAAGAAACCTACTGGACAGCAGAGAAGAATCGGAAAAATGCGTTTGTTTTTGTTAGATGTATTTCTATTTGTATCCATCTGATGAGTTAAGCCTTTTTCAATTGATTTTTATAGTTCGTTCTTATGTTGTACTGTTACACCACTGTCCCAGGTTAGGGGAGGGTTGGGATCCCGCTAACATGTTTAACCCCGCCACATTCTGTATGTATGTGCCTGTTCCAAGTCAGGAGCCTGTTATTCAGTGGTTGTCGTTTGTTGATATGTACATATTTGTTTTTCGTTTATTTTTTTTTTACATAAATTAGGCTGTTAGCTTTCTCGTTTGAATTGTTTTACATTTGTCATTTCGAGGCCTTTTATAGCTGACTATGCGGTATGGGCTTTGCTCATTGTTGAAGGCCATACGGTGAGCTATAGTTGTTAATTTTTGTGTCATTTGGTCTCTTGTGGAGAGTTGTCTCATTATCTTCTTTTTTTATATATAATAAAAAATATTCTACTAAAAGACACTTTATCCGACCAGTTTTTATTCCCATTCTTTGTACGTACGTCTCAATCCAAATTGTCTATGCTTACATTAGATTGTTGACATCATGAATATATACTGTACATGTAATTTATAAGATGTGACAAACAACAATATATACAGATGGCTGATACTTGTTTATAAAGTCTAAGTGTTGGTACACCTAGTTTATTAAACTGATGAATGCATTGGTTTCGTGCCTTAAAAAGTACATAATTTGAACCCTTTTTTTATTGTTTTTAAACGTAAATACACTGACACACAACATTCTAGGCTATAGAAAATTTGTATAATCACTCGATAAAACACGGACGCACTCGAAAAAGCCCGGACTGCTCTCGAAAAAACCCAACACATAGAAATGAATTTAGTCTCAAAATATCGTTTTTCAATGCAACAACAAGAATTTTTGTAAAGTGTCTGTATATCTAAGGATATATGGATTCCATGTATGCATTTTCATCGACGTTTGCATTGGTATGTGTATAAAAATGGCTTTATTCTGTTTTTTGGAATAAAAGCATTGTAAGGCTTAATTCAACTTTTTGAACGAAAAGTATATCCTTGTATATTAAACTCAAGCTTCTATATCACGTCTTTTCAGAAAGTTAGTCTGTTTGTTTACATTTTTGATCATATTCACTCGAAAAAAAGTGGTCACACTCGAAAAAACCCGATCAAATCACTCAAAAAACCACGATCCTAGCCGGACACTATACCTACCGTGATTTAACTTTTATATATCTAGGTCCAGCCATGCCTTAAAACTTTCCTAGATGCATCAGTTTGTCGGTACTCATAGTAGATTTTGTGGTATAAACACGGCCATATTTTTCAATTCCATTTGATGAACCTTAAAGGGGCATTAGCTACTACGAGATGTACAAAAAAATGAAACATGATTTTTTTTCAATCATTAATGAAAGTTATTTAATGAAATACTAATTTGCAGCCAATTTAGTTCACGCAAAATAAGATAAATAACATCCATGACTGGTGAATTTTTCACTTGCAAGTAAATAATTCGACCTCTTTGAATCCGTATTCATGAGACCTTTAATTTAACCCCTTTGTTGGAGATTGGTTAGGAATGTATTCAGCTATTAAAAGAAAAAGAATGTCAACTTTGAAAGTGAAACGAGGATGAATCATTTGGTTGACTGATTCGATCCACAAAAAAATCATTCTTACACAGGTAAAAACGATGATAAACATACTTTTTAACCTACAATATGAAATCTAACAGACCTAGAAAAATCCAATTTAGCGTAGTCTCTATCAGTTTATATTTATATTTATGTTTATATTGGGTTGTATGACCGTCGGCAGTCTTTGGAATTCATCATCTTGGTTGATTAGATGACGTCTAGACAAAAATACACACGAAATGTTGATACATTTTATCAAGCCCATGAATTGTTAATTGTTTATTTTAGACTTTTTGTAATTTTTATATACGTTTCAGTAAGTTATAAATCAATTATGAGAATTTGAGTCAAATCGGTGAAAATGAATTTGACAGCTAATGCCCTTTAAATAACTAAACACATTTAATGTAACTTTACGCTGTGATACAACCAATTTACCGTAACTAAGCATCAACCATTTATGAACCACTCAAACGCAAAAAAAAACCAGGGCCAATCGCATGACAATCCAGTCAATAAATGTAAACTAAAATCACCGTAAGCAGGGGTATTTCAATTCGAAAATAATAGGGTTAACAATAGCTTGTGGCAAGTGTGCATAAGAACGGAAGTGGTATTTTTTTCCATGCGCAGAACACGTTTTTTATTCTGGAATAGTCTTTATCGGGTACACTCGAGACAAATAGTTTGGATAGCCAAGAGTAAAAAACGATTACAAAGGTGAAACCAACATAAAGTAAGCATTTCTTAAAGTAGTATTGGGGTCTATTTATTTGCTTATGAGAATTTACAGAGTGCACAGTCACGCTGAAACAGGTCAGGAATAACCATTAATTGGTACCATTTGACATATAGTGAGGTAGACCAATTGAGGTGCTGCGTTTTGTGAAAATGTGGATTAATTGAGGTATAATCCACTAGTTGATGGATATTCACGAATGGTTTCCTTAAGTCTGCATCAGTTCCAACTTTAAGATTTGTTAGTCGAAATGGACAGGAATAGACTACGGAACAAAAATAAGATTCAATATAGATGAAAAATCAGAATTTATAAGTAGGAAAAGGAGGGTTATATTAGTTTGTAGGTTTCTATAACAAAATGCAGTACAAAGTGTCAGAATCAATTACATGTCATCACTAAGTGGTCATCAAAGCATGTTATGGTAAATGCAAAAAGATGCTCCAATATCTCTTAAAAAAATTTTGGAATAAAAACTGCATTACACCTGAATTGGTGTATCTCATTATATGTCAAATGGTGAATTATACCTGAATTGAGGTATAATCCACCAATTAATGGTTATTCCTGACCTATGAAATGTCTAGCTTGCTTTACTAATTGTTGAATTTATGTTTTTAATATAGATGTTTTACTACAAGTATGATATAAGCAGGTCTTTGACATTATCAGTCATCTATGAAAATGAGGTCACGGTTAGATGAACCACGCCAGACAGACATGTACACCTTACAAGTATTCAGTACACCAAATATAGTAGCCCTATCAATAATAGTACACGAGAAACAAATCAAACCACAAAATTTTAAAATTGACCAATGAACCATGAAAATGAGGTCAAGGTCGAATGAAACCTGCAAGAAACACATGTACGCCTTACAATCATTCCATACAATAAATACAATCGATACATTGCTTATAGTATTTGATTACCTTAAAAAACATGACTTGAAACCTTTTGAGAAAGATACTAAAACATTTGTCAAAAATCTAACAGAATTGTATTTTTAAGTATGATATGAGGGTTTCTGATTTGACTTAATATTCAGAAGCTCAAATACACATGCGGCTATAATTCTGTGTATGTTATAAACTATTCGAGGACGTTTTGGAAATAACCCTGCTTGTGAAACAAACATATGGTGAATTACCCTTCCTTTTTTCGAAACTCTTTTCTTCCAATCCAGTACATGCTGGCATTATTAACTCTTAATTGATTTTATAATAATTTAATTTTGGATGTAACGCGTCTTCTGATTGGCTGACGTTGTTTTGTTTATCAGCTCATAGACATAATTTTGTCATGTGACCGTGACGTCATCAACGTTTTTTCATGGTTTACTCCGGTTTCAAATGGAATTTAGAATTAAATTATAAGAAATGACTGTAATATTTTTTCTGTCTATTCGAAATAACATAAAAAATGTGGTGCACACTTTAAAATAACCCGCTACGCGAGTTATTCAGTGTGCACCACATTTTTTTATGTTATTTCTTCATAGACAGAAAAAATATTACAGTCATTCCTTAAATAATAAATGAGATTGTTCTTAGAAAAACATGAACTTTGTATTCTTCGTTAAAAGGATGTCATTCCCAATTCACAACTACCACGAAACCGGTAAATGAACAGGTTTAACCCCGCCGCATTCTGTCTGTGCCTGTCCCATGGCATGAGCCTGTAATTCAGTGGTTGTCGTTTGTTGCTATATATCATACTTGTTTTTCGTTCATTGTTTTGTACATTGATCAGGCCATTAGTTTTCTCGTTTGAATTGTTTAACATTTTTCAAGGCCGGACGGTGACCTATAGTTGTTAACTTCTATGTCATTTGGTGGAGAGTTATCTCATTAGCATTCATACTACATTTTCTTATTTTTATAACATAACAGTCTTCAATTTTAATTTTTGCCAACAATCAATCAATCAATCATTCTTATTTCTGTAAGTTTATGCATCTCAAATACCCCAGATAACTTGAAGTTAAAAATTCAACAGATATTAGAAGTTTACTGTTCTTCTTCATAGCTATATATCTCTTTCTTGAATCTATTAATACTTTATGAATTGGGTAGTACGTCCGAAGTGCTTTTCTTGATTTGCCTTCATCATGAATGCTTAAAACCAAAAATTTGAAAGAGAAGCTTTAAAATCAAATGACATCAGATCTAAAACATATAGGAAAACAGTCTAGGGTGAATATTAGACATTTGCGGAAACTGTCATACACCTACGATTAGGATTACAATTACACTTACAGGTAGCATTTAAATCTTGGGTCGTTTCAAAGTGTAAATAAAAACCGTCGGTTCAAAACAAAGACTAACTCCTATGATGTTTTTCTAACGAGATCAATTAGAAAAATAAAACGACAATTATCTTTCAATGCAATGAAAATATAAAACAGATATATATTCGTCTTTACATATACTGGCCCGTGTTTTAATAAGTGATCATAGAAATCTTTCAAGATGGTTGAAATGCCTTTAACCGTCAAATTTTCGACTATCATTAACGACAACTTGATTCAATTTATATTGTGGTTTGTCAAATTATCCTTATTTGTCAGAGGTCTCAATTACTTAAACTTTACCGTTATAATTGGAAAACATATACCATGATTCGTCAAAATCAGTTGATTCTTTTTTATCGTCATAATGAACTCTATGTTTCTTTGTAGAGTTTTTGTGGACTTTGTATTTTCGTCGTTTTTCTTTTGACCATGGTGGAGTCTTTTTTCTTTGACTTATGGGTTCTAAATGCCCCTTTGCATCGTTTCCTTGTTTAAAAAAAATAAAATTAACTTAAGTTGCATTAAACATAATTTTTGTACATGCATTACATTTTTCAATTAAATCAAGAATTTCCAACAAGCATAGACCCCCCCCCCCTCCCCCCATCTTAAAGCACTCAGGTTGTCTTTTAAAGTACACGGATTTCTGTTAACCGAATTTTAGATTGAATGTAAGTCAAACAAGTTTTTTAAACGATGACTTTTTTTTTTTATTTCTTTAGAAATAAAGTAGTTAATATATGTTATCAAATAAAACTATATTACATCATTTTTGACCTATATGCTCTTTGCTTGTAAAGATATTTGAATGCACACGAATATTTAATGGATCCGATTCTTAATCAAACACATGACACATCAATTAAAACGAGATATTTTTATATTTCATTAAGAATAGATTATAAGCTGATATTTTGAAAAAATCGCCAACGTGATATTTAATTACATGTATCATTAACGTCAAGATCTAAACGTTATTGTTAAAAGAAATCACGCACTATTTAAGTCGGTTAGGGAGCATTTGCGGATACAAAAGTGTAATCGTATAAAAGATATACGACTCCCAATTACTATATACCGCCCGCTTTTGTAAAGCGAGTAGAACTATTAATACAGAAAAATAAATAAATTATAAGTGTATTTCGTGCATTTATTTTATTTTCCCCCGTTATGGATGAAGAACACAGGTTAACCATGTCAGCATTACCTGCCCTGATGCAGACTCCACCAGATGTAAGGTACACATGTCATTCGTCATCTGATTATAACCCTGGTAGTCCTAGCTTGACCACCGACAAACCAATCTTTTACAATCAGGGAAATATTATAGGCAATGATGTATACTTTTGGAATTGGAGAAATGTGTTCACTTGTTTTGCAATCAAACGATATTCCTTTTACCGGTCAAACTCCTGAAACGTTACTTTAAATTGTAGCCGATGTTAATGGTCTCTTCAGACAGATAACCGGTTGGGATCATAAGCTTTCCCCGGGAGACACAATTCTTCTTTTATGTTATGGTTACGATCGTACCTGTCTTTTCATATGATTTCTGAAATAGTTTGACGTTTTGACTACCAAAGATGAAACACATACATGTATACATATTTCAAGAAACATATAACCGCCTTCTTTGGGTGATTGGCAGAACTTACAAGGTGGGTGGCCAAAACTTCCGTTTGCAGTAGAGCTATAGACGGAAAGTTTGTGGCCGATAACGGAACCACAGGAGCAGTATTCTCCAGGACACAGACATTGTCACTGCATTCACGCTCAAGTTGTAATATTGAACGAAGACAGGATATGTTATTTTGAGTGCGGATTTCTGTGGCATCAGCAATATATGTTGATGCGAAATTTAGGACAAGAATTACCTTTTCCGACTGAACTGTTTTTGCTAGGCGACAAAACATATCCGAACTGATATCCAGTATTGACTCCTTACATAAGACAAACCCCAGAATATGCAGAGGAAGTGTAGAAAATTAAATAGACATATTACACACTAAAGAGTAGAGGTTGAACACGCCATCGGAGATCGAATTAAAAAAAAACACAAAGTTATGGGGCCTTTGTGGCAATTCACATCTGTTGTGACCATAAGTTTCTGTATTTGTGTGTCGTCGAAAAGACTTATTTACATGAGAAAGAATATCATTTCATTTGACTATGTATCTCAATTGGGTTTATTATTTTTATTTTGAGAGGACCCCTTGTTTTTCATCAACTGTAATCGTAAGTCTAAGTGTAATCCTAGGTATAGATCTAGTTTCCGCAAATGTCCATTACTAGCTTACGTAGAAATGAATAACATTTCATAACACAGAATTGTTAAATACTCCGTGTTGAAGGCCGTACCTTGACCTACAATGGTTTACTTTTATAAATTGTAACTTGGATGGAGAGTTGTCTCATTGGCACTCATACCACATCTTCCTATATCTATTAAGAAGTAAAATAACAAAAATACCGAACTCCAAGGAAAATTCAAATCGGAAAGTCCCTTATCAAATGGCAAAATCAAAAATTTAAAGCTCAAACAGATCAAACGAATGGAAAACAACTGTCATATTCCTGACTTGGTACAGGCATTTCCTTTATGTAGAAAATGGTGGATTAAACCTGGTTTTATAGCTAGATAAACCTCTCGCATAAAATTCCATTATATTGACAACAATGTGTGAACAAAACAAACAGATATAATAGGTAAAAATGTCAAAAATAGGGATACAGCAGTCAACATTGTGTTATAATCTTAATCACTATAAAAAAAACAAACAAATATGTCAACAAAGAAAAACAAAATGGCATATTTGACACCCGTCCAGTTGTGTAAGTCATACGCCTTAATTATCTATATTCTTAATTCCTAACCTTTACCTTTATAAATACATTAAAGCTGTAGATAACTTTATTGGGTTTTCAAACAGGGACGAACGTGAGTATTTACAGATTTTTATTTGCTTTATCAACTTAAGATGTTCATTTCATAACATTTGATTTTAAGACGAAACATAATGTTATCATATGTGCAGCATATTCAAATTTAAAGAAAAACTATCTTAAAAGAGTTAATTGATTCGAACCGACCATGAACTGTCTATCTAGATCAAGCTGTGTTATATCACAGGTGATATGACCACAACATAAGTCGGGGGTAGCGCACATACACATATAGAAACACGTGTAAACCGAGGTATTCTGGATGAAAAAAATTTAGTTTCGATGTTCTTTAAAACTTAGAAATATATGAAGGAAATAAAAAACACTTCACAAAATCTAAAAAAAAAGCATACATGATAGGTGATAGTTCCAACTTCTGAAATATGGCAAGATGTTAAAGATGACAAAATAAGCTGTTATAGTGTATGCAAAAGATAATGTTTGCTTTGGAACTCTTCTACTTTTCCTATATGTCTATCTTAGTAATATTTAAAAGTATAGTATTTACCAAACCTGAGTTTGGAAAATACACTATTAAAAAAACTTCAGAAACATGACAGTATACATGCTTTCTTATTGATTGATTAGGTGGGATGGTTGCTTAACGTCTAATGGCAAATATTACATGCATAGTCAGGACAAAAGCAGTTTTTGACTGACTCTGAAACACTTGGTCCCTGAAGCTAACATTATTTTTTTCAGATGACAAAAAAGAAGGTATGTGTGATTGGTGCTGGTGTAGCAGGTCTTGCTGGTATCAAGAATTCCCTGGATGAAGGCATGGAACCAGTTTGTTTTGAGAAAGACGATGAAGTTGGCGGGCTTTGGAATTACAAGGATGAATCTAAGGAAGGCGATCCCAGTATATACAACTCTTGTAGTATTAACACTAGCAAAGAAATGACGTGTTATAGCGATTTTCCAATTCCAAAAGAATTTCCAAACTTCATGGCACACAGACATTTTAAAAGATACTTAAAACTGTATGCCGAACATTTTAAGCTAAGGAATTATATTAGATTTAGACATGTAATTGTGCGCGTAGAACAAGCGGAAGACTTTGAAGAAAGCGGAAGATGGGTGGTAACATACAAAAACATCGCCACTAATTCTACAAAGAAAGACACATTTGACTGTGTAATGGTTTGTAATGGACACCTTCACGAACCGTTCATACCAACTTTTAAAGGACTTTCGAACTTTACAGGGCGCGTTTTGCACACCCATGACTACAAAGATTTTCGAGGTTTCGAGGGAAAGAGGGTCCTTGTGATTGGGATTGGGAACTCTGCATCAGATGTTGCTTCAGAATTAAGTCGTCATGCCGAACATGTAAGTTTTAAGGTTGCATTCATGAAAAAGATAGTATTGCTCTCTTTCTAATTTGTTGCAAACTAAATAAAATAACCCAATTCAATTGAGAGACAATCTAACTTTTAGGGCTAATAAACGGATAATAATTCAATGAAAATTACAAATAAGTAAAATGAAATGAGAATGGAGATACAAGTACACCTGTTATCGCAAACTGGATGAAATAACTCAATTCAATTGAGAACCAGTCTAACTTTTAGACGTTAAACGAATAATAATTCAATGAACATTACAAATAAGTAAAATTAAAATGAAATTAGAGATACTAGTACATTTTTATTCCTTATATTTAAGAAGAGACCAGTAGAAATTTTCAAATAATCATTTCGTACAATTTATATTTATTGTATGTTGCATTACAGTAGGCCACATACCGATACGAGGTATTTAACGCCCACCATAAGACATAAAATCGTAAACATAATAGTGGAAAAGGCTATTTCTTTATTTTTAAATGTTAGATGAAACGGTATAAACATCAAAGTGACAGCAATCTAATCAGACTATTAACTAAAATGTCCTCACGACTTTTTTACGCATTTTTGATTATCCTCGCAATACAAAATTACCAGAATCCACATGCACATATCGGGATTCAGCACGTACTTCTGTGTCACCTATGATGGAGATGACCCCAATTTTGTTTAAACAGTAAAAAAAACGGATTAGAATAACGCAATGTTTCTTCACTTTTTATTGACAATTTACTTATCTATAGAAACAGCATGATCTGATAATGAAAATATCGATTACTATTTAACAGGTTTACATGAGCACACGAACTGGTACCTATGTGATACAAAGGACAACAGACCATGGTGTTCCCTTTGACCATAAGGCAATGACACGCTACGGCTTAACAGTACCATTTTGGTTGATGAAACCGTTTGCTTTTAAAAGGCTGAATAGTCGATTTGATCATACAAAATACAGCTTGGCACCCAATGGTAAATTTGGCCTTAGTGTTGTCACAATCAGCGATGACCTGCCAACGCGCATACTATATGGAACAATTACAGTAAAACCAAACGTGAAAGAATTCGCAGCGAATAATGTTACATTTGAAGATGGCACAATAGCTGACAATTTAGACGTTGTCATCTTAGCAACAGGGTTTAAATTTAGCTTTCCGTTTCTGGATGACTCAGTTGTAAGAATAGAGAATCATTTCCCTTATCTTCATGAATTAGTTTTCCCGGTAGATCTGAGTCGGTCAACCTTGGCAATCATTGGTCTAGTTCAGCCTTTTGGAGCATTACCGCCAATTTTAGAGATGCAGACAAGATGGGCTGCGCGAGTGTTCTCTGGAAATTGTAAACTTCCGCCTGCGTCAGTCATGAAATCAATGGCTACTAAAAAGCACGAATTTATGAAAAGGCATTTTCCGGAGTCTCCAAAGTATTGTCTACAGATCCACGCAGTTACGTATGTCGACAAAATAGCTGGGTTAATTGGATGCAAACCCAATCTTACGAAATATTTCTTCACCTCCCCTATGTTTTGGTTCAAACTTTTTTTTGGCCCTGCTGCACCTCCTCAATGGAGGTTAGACGGACCAGGGAAATGGGATGGAGCTCGTCAAGCCATTGAACACGTTGACGAAAAGACGTGGTTTCCATTAGAAACTAGAAGAGCGGGAGAAGGAACCACGAAAGGACTATATGACGGATGGATTTGGCTGATATCTAGATCTGTTCTTTTCTCGAGTGTCATTTTTGGTGTGTATTGGCTTAAAACACACAAAGACATAAATACTGAGAGCATTCGATCTCTCCCTGTTCAAGCGATCTCTCTATTGAAACAATGGGCGCCGTAATACTAGAAACTAATGAACATGTCTGGAACAAAATATGTCATTTTATTTTTAGTGTTGATATCTGGGAATATTTTCAACGGATTCATTCGGTTACTGGAATTACCTTATACAAAACCTGCCATACATATACTAGTATTTAATGCAAAAAAGTCCGTCTGCAAACAGTTGCTAACTGGATTTCCTTATTTACAAACTTCAAGGATGAATTAATACTTCAAATGATCAACCTTATATTAAATGTATTTAATACAAGAACATGGTTTGAATATTACCTGGTGGGATAAAATCAAAATATCGCCTCTAGATATCCTCTCTCGGATAAATATCCTCCTCCCTTCCATAAATAAAGGTCTATATAATAAAAACTTGTAGCTTAGTACCGTTGCCGCTAGTTATTAGTTTTTTTTCCTTCTGAAACTACTGGACTGGCTTGACTCTAATTCGAGATAGGACCGTTTTCTATGTTATGTATAATCTTTCCGCTTATGGATTCAAGGATTGTTGTCTTTTTATGTAATTGAGAGGTTTATTTTTTATACTTGAACTTCAATTTCCGATACAACTTCCAAGCGTCGTACGATCAATGGTCATATGATACCAACCGTCCAGTCACCAGTGCTTCAATACTGGCGAAATTAAATGATGCAAATGAACTTCAACTAATATGACAACTCGTTCAGCCACAACTGACATACGGTTTTGGCAGTTCCAATTCTGTTCTTTTTGTTCATGATGCTTGGTTTTTATCTATTTGGCATTCCAAATTTTAGGTCACCATTTTACCTGATAGAAGTGAGTGTTGTGTTCATAATCCTCTTGCAATTGTCCTGTTTGAAAAGGTGTAATTTAGCGGATTCTTTTTAAAAGTCTTACTATTAAAAGACGACTAATATGTTAGAAATATAAAATGTCCATGAAGTTAATAGGTATTATCTTTTACCCTTAGAAGATTCAACAAAAGTATGGAAATATGGTTACCTTGACTTCTCCCATCCGGCAGTAAAACTCGTTCAGTTCGTTTGGCTGTGTTGGATGTGCAAGTACGCAGTCACGTACGGACGGATTGGGAAGATTATTGCGACATCACGGTCTCTGCTCACACGTATTTTATAACCCTTGTAAGACCTCTTTGAATAGTACGTAGGTGGCCTTTTGCATAGCAAAATTACTGTCCCTATCCAGCATGATCTCATTTACCAGTGGATATTCAAATGGGTGACCCTTAATCATATATTTACCCCTATGCAATGCCTAGCTGCTTACCGAATTATGTGTATTCTTTTGAATTACACAAAATGTTACCCAATGGACGTTATTTGATCACTCAACATATTTTTTCTAACAGACCCATAAAACAAACTATTCTTTCTTACGTTATACATTTTTGTTTTATGACAATTCAAATATAAATTTAATTTCATTTTTACTAATTAGAAACAAACACGACGTGTGGCAAATGTTTTACACATATTCAGAACAAAAAATTAAAAAAAGTAATCAAGTAGGTAGATTTTGCATTATTAGTCGACCGGGTTGAAAGTTTACAAAAGATTTCCGACTGTTAGTTAATACAGAAATACAGACATATTCAATTTCAAGTGGTAAATCGTCTACATTTAATTACATTTTATTCAGCCGAATATAACGATACATGCCGAAATTGAACATTTGATATTGATTCTATAGCACATATCTCGTGAAAAAATTGTGCAGATTTTGTGATAATTAAATGATCATCATTAAACAGTCGCGGTCATGCAAGAATGCAGCCGGCTCTGGCTATTTTATAAACTACATAATACAATATTAAACGCAAAGCCGTTATCGTTTTCCCATAATACTAAAATAAATATTTCAAGTGATAGTCGAGTTCAATTTAAATGGGACACTGATAAGTAGTGATCTCAATATTAGCCGTGTTACAATCAGTTACAAAACTGACCAATATTCACATGTATTAAATTTAGTACATACGAACACAAGTACGTGACTTTGTTACTTAGATCTTAGTTCACATAGGTGAAGACCTTTATATAGATATACTAATATTAATAGAATAGTAGATAAAATATTCATCAGGTAATTGCATTACCTTTAGTTTGATTAAGGAATGTTTATATGAAATTAACTCTGTAGTCAGCTTTTCTAATTGTTAGCATTGTTGATCTAATGATTTTGATTGAAGTGAAATGGCATGATGTTTTGTCTTTTGTTATTTCCCTCCTTTAGATTTTTTTGGTTTGTTCGTTTCTTGTTGTTTTCTGTTTTGTTTTTTTATTTCCCTTTTATATGCTTGTTTGTGGGTTTTTTTTTCATTTCACTTTTATATTTTTGTTTGTTAGTTTTTAAATTTCCCTTTTGTTTGTATGATTATTTGGTTTTTTTTATTTCCCTTTTTATATATTATTTTGTTTGTTTGTTTGTTTGTTTGTTTGTTTGTATTTTGTTTGCTTGTTGTTTTTATTTCTCTTTTGTATTTTATTTTCAAATTATTTTCTCTGAAACTAACCTGAACTGGGGATGTTTAAAATAATTTCACTACTTTGAAATTGACCTGAAAGTTTTTTTATTTTTTTTTATTGGCTGTTTTTTTTTAAAGCTGTCTTGAAAAAAGACCTGATTTTCTTTATAGGAGAGTTGATTACCCATTATGAATTACAAATGCAGTTAGACTCTTTATTACCTCAATCCAATGAGTATCGTCAATGTACAAAGAGGAGGAAGCTCAATAACTATTTATAAAGGTGTTTCTAACGTATTTCCCCTAAACTGTTGAGTTTTTGTTAGAAGATATTATACCGTGAATTACTGTCTTTTAATGAGATAAATATGTGGTTTTATTGACTTTTGAAAAACCAATATTCATTGAGGCCATCGGTCAGTGTTAGTGATTAAAATGTACAATGTTTTCTACACCGTAATGGACCCCAACTGAACAACTTTTTAAGGTAAAGGTCTGCTGCAAGGCAAAGTTAGGAACACTTGTACAAATACACTGTTTTCCAGTGGAAGTCTCCATTTCCATCGAATTACTATGTAGACCCTTTTTATTTGATTACTTTGTACTGAAAATGCACGAAAAGTAAGCTTCTGGACGATAAATAAACAATTTAAACACAAATCATCCGCTAAACTTAATATGAAAAGGTCAGATAAACAAGCTTTATCTGGCAGCACGGAAGAAATGGGTTCACAAAGTGAACACACGACGTACTTTATCAAGTTAGTGAGTTCATGATGATGCATTCAGCGTACTTATAACATTGAAAAAATAGAGATCGAGGTGAAACTGTGAAAGATATCCTCATGTCAAAATAACATGTATATGACCGTATGGCGCTCGATGTCCGATTGTACCTTTACTGTTTGTGTTTGTACAAAGAATAGGAATTAGAAAAAAAGAGTTTTAAGTCTTCATTTAGGTTTATTTTTAATATTTTCACATCAATGCAAAAAAAGAAAACCTTCCAATATATATTCGTTTAATTTATAAAATTTTATTAAGATTGGAGATAACACACATTCCTGTTTAGAAACACCAAAGTTTGATAAGTTATACCATTATCCAAGATCAGAGGGGTAGAGAACTAACAAGTATGCTTAACCCCCACAATACTCATGGGACTCAGCCTGTTCCAATTCAGTGGTTGCCGTTGGTTCCTGTCTGCCATATTTGTTCATCATTTCTTGTTTTCAACAGAAATCAGGCCGTTGAATTTCTTTGTTTAAATGTCTCGCATGTTTTCATACCGTGATCTTTTATAGGTTACTAGTATATATTCGGTGTTGGTACCGTATTACCATCCGAATTAGAACTTAAAAGTTGTGTTTGTCGAACAATTTCCTTAAGTATAGATTTTACTCAATGTTGAAGGGTATACGGTGACCTCTAGTTGTTTACATCTACGTGCTAATTGGCAATCATACAACAATTTTGTATATTTATATTACTTGTAATTTCATGATGCATATTCACGTCGTTTTTCGTTTGTTTTTGTTTTTTCACATTATTTTTTTTCAGTCGCAGTTTTGATCCATCTTTTAGTATCTCTCGCCTATTTTTTTCAGACTCGGGCTTCACCAGATATTCTGATACTTGCCAGTCAAATGGTCTATCATAATATATGCATACACATATTCGACCCTATTGGTTTTTATTTTTGTTTTTATAGGGGATGTTTGTTTTTTTGTACTTTTATATATACCTACTGCTATCTATCAGTATCCACCTTTAATCAGACGACATCATGTTCATATCTACTGGTAATTGATAAAGATGATAACGGTATTTGCCAATTTATCTATTTGATCCCTTCAAGTGTATGACTACGTAAGAATAATATTGATAAGATTATAAATTTCTCTTATGTCTGTTTTCGAAAAGAAAAGTAATTATTTGATAATAAGAATTTTATCTTTAATTATTTTTTTTAAATATATGGGTAGGATGTTCATCTTCAAACATTTTGAACATATAAAGGAAGCTAGATTGCCTATTCAGGGGAGGGGGTGTCGCCCCGATATTCTGACATCCCACTAGTCTGACACCCAATTGGTCCGACACCCCATAGTCCGACATCCCAATAGCTCGACAAAGGAAATCTATTTCATAAAATCGTTGTTGGCGTGGTATTTGAATATTCTTATAAGTATGACAAGTATGTCAAAGAACCAGAAGCAGATAATACCATACCACCCATCTGGTACCCATCTGGTATTTAAGAAATACCATGACCATATGCATATAAAGCAATCGAGAACCTTGCAAGTTTTGGTTAACTAATATACGATGTGTTCTATGGGAACAAACTCCACTAAAAATAAAATGTAAAGAACAGTCCCCAGTAGTGCAGTCTTTCATCGTTCACGTAATGTAGTCTCGGAAACTGTCATTACCGAAAAAGTTTCATTTCAATATGCACAGGTAATATTTTTTTTCAAGCATGATGATTTCTGTTCATCTACACTGTACACGAACTTATAGATCGAAAACTTTCAAAACTGAAAGTTGTCGAGTTGTTTATTGATAATATAATCGAAAATAAGTGAGTAAAATTGTTCAATCGAATGATAATTGGTTCTATGTATGGAGACTTTATTGAGATTGAAACTTCGATAAAACGGATGAAATTTGCTGTCAGAATGAACTTGTATTAAAAATAAATGAAATATTTGCCACTGGACATTAAACACCAAAAACAAATCAATCATGTACGAATAGCCATGGAAATGTACTTTTGATATCAGCGATTAGATTTTTAATTGCATATTCATAAAACAATACTCTTTTTCTGTACATTGTTATTTCCATTCGTGTTTTATTTTTCCTCTTTAAAAATTAATCGTATGTGTTTTCTTTCCGCTTTACAAATAATCGATCACCGGTCGACATTTTAATCGATTGCACAGCACAAGTTGCGTGAAAATAACTAGCAACCCATTACACTTCTCTGACATTAACACATGAACGCAATGAGAGTTAGCTGGGACGCAAAAACGCAAAGGAATAACAAGTTTTAACAAAAAACAAGACTTTACATGTACCAATCTATTACGTATCTTTAAAAAACAGTGAGAAAACATGAACTCTTCCTTGCCCACCTATACGACCAGATTATCATGTCTCCATGCTTCGCTTTATCACAAAGTAAAATCTAAAAAGCTTCGTATAAGGAAAATTGTGTTTCATTTCTTGACAAAAAGATTGTTTCTGTGTTAGAGCTGTTTGTGTCTATTCCCGATATAGCCTTATATATATGTTTTTAAAACAGTCCTGTTGATTAAATTTATTTTTCATTTTTCTTTTTCCAAAAATGTCTATTAACAGTCATTATCCATATTATCGTTTAGTTGATGTGTTTTTCTAAATTAGAAAGTGACTTAATTTCTTACTGATTCTCTCCAAATAATCACAGGTTTCGTTAGAATTGATATTAGTGAAAGAACCATTTCTTCGTAAACGATTTTGATATTATAAAAAAATATATGAAATTTTTTTAGTGACGGTTTACATCAAACATCAAATATTTCACTTATATTTTGGGCAACAGCATACTGACACGAAGACACATAGTCTTTCACTTATATCTAGGGCAACAGTAACACTGACACGAAGACACCTAATCCGAGATTGGTCTGACGGCCCAACAAATCCTAAAAAGGTCGCCAAAGCAATCTTGGCCTAGATGATTTTTCTGCGTTATACGGGCCGACACGCTGAGTCGGATATTAAGATGCATTGCACTTTGTATTTCCGGCTTTGTTGTGAGTCTTTCCTCTTACTTATAAATATACTTGGCTTTTAAATATTCGGCTTTGAGTGTTCCTGGTGAAGGTAAATCCAGAAAAGCATTTAAAAAGTGTTATTAAATGTCACTTGATAGTCGGAAGTTTTTTCAGAGACAAGTGCCTGTGGATATCGATGTATAGCCTTTTACTCTCGACATTACAACATATTTTTTTGTGAGAAGATTGTCCGATCTTAAATTCCTTGATTTATTTGCATTGTACATCATCAAAATAAAATTTCTTTGAATTTGCCTTAGTGTGCTAATTACAAAAGAGTTAGCCTTTGCGGCTTCATACGTTTATTTTTTCTATTAGTTTATTTCTAAACTTGTCTGCTCTAGCTTTATAAATATGGCGTTGCTTTGACATATACACAGTCACTAGAGAAATACATACGAGGTTGGTCTGCTAGGATCAGAAGTGGTTTATTGCATAGCAACATACGGATTTCATACAAAACCCCTTAACCATCTGATCTCCCCATTTGTTAGTTATTTAGATTATTAGAAAATGATGAAATTATTAGTTTGATTATAGTTATCAAAGGTACCAGCGACTCTTTTCACAAAAAATCTTACGACTTAAAATTGATCGTAAGTTATACTGAAATATGTATGACTTACGAGTATTTTTACTCTTAAGATATTTTGTGAAAAGAACCGCTGGCTTATAATTTGATACGCCAGACGCGCGTTTCGTCTACATAAGACTCATCAGTGACGCTCAGATCAAAATAGTTAGAAAGCCAAACAAGTATAAAGTTGAAGAGCATTACCCAGTTTAATTGTTTCATTGTAATACTATTTGCAAGCTCATATATTGGTGTTGTGAACTCGTATAGTCAAAGCAGATTCCTTACAGAGAACGCGTCAAACTTTACAGAGTTCTATTTGGAAGACATTAGAGCCTT